AAAAAAATAGAGTCCCGCACTCTAATACGTATTATACGTTAGCTATCACTTAAACAGTTTGCTTCTTCTATTATCCGCAGTACATGTACTCCAAAAGACATCTAGAGCAGGAGCTTCGTCTAACGCACTAGCCTCTCTCTTGCAACGCACTTTCGGTATTGCCATTCTGTGTGGTGGGTGTTCCGACTACATTTTGCTGTACTGCCTTTTCAGCTACTGCACTTCTGGCGAGCCATGCCCCGTTTTTTTTTGTTGTAAACTGAGATAATATCATACAATACTTATGTTTTGAAACAGAAAGTATATTTGAACGTAATCGTTTCTCGACCTCTAATTGGCTAATTAACTTCAGCTTAATAATATCTTTTGATCTTTTTCCACAATATCGTTATTCCGATAACAATATTGCGTTTCAGGATATCTTTTCAATTGCAAGATGTTTATCTTCAATTGCTGAGATATTTTATGGACCAGTTAAGTTTTATTTTCCTTTAGCATTATTATTGTGTATCTTAACGCATGTGAATCAGAAAGGTAGTTAAGCTTCGCTTATTATCAGTAGACTTACGCTTCGTCATTTCGACAGCATTCACCCTCGTTGTTTTCACCGTCGCTGTCCTCGTTGGCCAAATAATCGGTCGAATCTTTATCGTCGAGCAGACTACTGTTGGTGTAGTTGAACGTACACTTATCGATCTTGTCACCCCTCATATGCGTGCACCGTTTTGTTATCAAGAAGGCGAAGATACTCCATACTCTTTCAGCGGCTGTTAAAGACGTTGGGATTGGGGAATTGGTCGCGTCCGTATTGAGCTCAGTACTTTAGTCCAGAAATGTTGCAAAATACAGAGTTCAGATCCTCGGGAAGGTTGGCAACATGTTTAAGTGCCCTTTCGGCTCGGGGTGACAAATGTTGGTTACCTTTTATCCCCCATGAAGTAGACGGAGATGTACGTGTTCAAATCGTTATTCGTGCTGACTTTATTCTTGGGTTCTACTTGCGCTACGTAGATATGGGTGTAAGTAGATATGCACATCCCATCGAAGACATGTGTCGGATATCCCAACGCTTGTTAGTGAGACTCGTGAGCTGCTCCGCCGCTTTTGAGTCTATGTCTACACACTTGTTGCAGGTAGAGTAAAGCCTCGAAGGTAGTCATAACCCTGAAACGATCACACGAGTCTGCCAATTATCTTGCTAGGAAAAACCGAACCTTCGGGACAGTCAGCAGCTTCAACCACAAAACACCAATGAACTAATAATTGAAAAATACCTGAGCACTGCAACATGTTTTTGATTCCATCCAGGATTGGAGTGACGCCATCTCCAAGAAGCGCCATGACAGAAAACTTTGCAAGAACGAGTTTCGCATTGGTTGTAATGAGTGATTCCACGCGTTGTCACCGTGGTAACTAGGTCAGAGAGAGAGCTGTGTACTGTACACACTTGGTCTTGAAAGCGATCACGACGTGTTGGTGGTCCTCTACAAATGAAACCACCTTGGCTACCTTTTATTCAACGTGGGGTTGAAAGCTTCGATGGAGCAAATGTCCGTTGTCAGTATATTCGTCACGTGAGCCACACAACGGTCAGTGACCATGGCGGGTGGGCTCAATGATATCCTATGCCCCCCCCCCCTGCGTTTGGTAGGCATTGTCTGTTACCAAAGCTTCATACTTCGCCGCCCCGAGTCCTTGTAAAACGTTCATAATTCCTTCGGCTATTGCCTCCGACGCCTGAGGTATTCCAGACGTTGACTCGCTTCTCAGGAAAAAATGTTGGCTTGCGAGCTTGAATTAAGGCGACGTAGTTCACTCGGTGTCCATCCCTAGAATTGGACTGACCATGGTTTCAGACAACTAAAATCAGGGTGTACGCCACGCAGCTCCCAACAAGAGCAATGACACACTCCATTGGGATGTCTTCCTACTTGTTTAGAATGGATCCTGATACTTGCTTGGCACTAAGGATGAATGATAAATAGAAAGGACAAATAGCATAGATAAGATTTCTCATTGCAGCCGATTCGACAACCCGGAGCAGGATTCCGGGCCTAAGAATTCGGTCTACAAGTGCCGCAGTTATACGGTCGCGACCCTCCATTGATAAGCAATCGGTCCATGTGTGCACTGTGCTATCACTTGCTCGGAGTTGCTTGTTAGGTGGAGAGGATGCTGGTTCGACAGACTGAATATTTGAAGGCGGCTCTAGTTTGGCCTACAGTACAAATTATAAATTGCCTTTAGTAAAACCTATATAGTTATGCAATTGTCGGTTCGCAGAGCCAGTGGTACCGTATGCCATAGGTCGACGATGACGTGGCTGTGGTGTGGATATACCACACGTTACCTCGTTGACCCGCTACACTGAAGCCAACAGTAAGAATTCTTTTCAAAACGACCGAGAGCCTTGCAAGCAATTGCCTATACAAGAAACACCAGTCCATTCCCGTCAAACTTCCCTATACCTCCGGTGCCAGAAATGATCTATGTTTCTGGAACATTAACCGGGGCTGTCCTTCACAGGGGGAAAATCTATGAAGATTAAGGGTGTTACAAATTAAAATAGTATAAACTCCAAATTGGTCAGTGCAAATATTTTTGTTTAATTTGCAAAGGCCTTTTTTGTTTTTGCAGGTCAGAATTGGTGATGGGTACAATCACGTAACATTAGATAAAATGTCAATGATCGTTTTGAGAACAACCTTCCTATATGACCAGTGACGAGAGCCTAGGGGTGGTGATAGGGGGTGGGACGAAGCGATCTGTAGGGGTGTTAACGACGAAAGGAGTGGATTTTAATGGGATAATGCTTCACGAATGTACTGATAAACATTTTGAAATTATAGAGCTGAAATAAAAAATGCTCTGCTCAAACCTTTCCACCCTGTTTATTTGCTTTCCACTCTCTCCAACGAGATCAACGTTGTATTGTGTTATACTGGAATGATTTTCTAGTAATATTTCAGTAAGAGTCTACCCTACTCACAATTTTATACGAATAGATTACAAAATCTTCTGGATTGTGTAGATATTCAAGTTTATACAAGTATACATGTATTTAGTATGGTTTACACCCCGCAATAAATCAAGTTCTTAGCAGACGGTGATTCTGATAGCAAGTTGCTTCAGAGGAACCACGAGGTTGTTGGTCCAAATTTCATCATTGCGTGGCGGGAGTTGTGGGGCAGGAGGCGATGCGATTTCCGATGGTGCCGAGCTAGAGAAAGCAGTTTCACAAAGCTTGAGCGCGAAAAGGGACTTGGGAATGGTTTTTTTCGAGCGAATTTTCACTTTAGGTTGGTACTAGACTGATCGTGGTTTTTTCTTGTAGGTCTTTTGCCGTTTGGAGCCATTCTTGGCTCTTAAAGAAGCTGGCTCTGTCACTCTTGACCCACTATTTTCGTTGTGACGAATTAGCCCGTGTGCATGAAACTGTTGGGTCTGGAACTTTTTGTTATCTTTCCGAGTTGATGATGCTAATAGGATCGTGCAAACACGGCCTCCCAAACGAGCGAAGGAAACAGCCAGTGCAAGCTTCAACCTCTTACTTCTGACGCACGAGCTGGTGCGTTTCTTTCTACAACTTGACAGTCCCATTTAGATCGCATTTACGTTTGATCATAACGACAGCCGAGTATCGTTCGTCTTGAAGCACATATGAGACTCTTCCTACATCTCGTTCGACTTCATTTGAAACTTTCTGGATACATGAAATTCATCACGGAAGCAATTTCTTAAATACCATTAGAAGGTCTCCTCTTGAAGACTCCTACCGCCGCTTGCATTTGGCATGTGTACTCGCTTGTAGTCTTCTACGCCTCGTGTCCTTAGCGCGCTTCGATGGAGTACACCTTTCGATACAGGAAGTGGCCGCTTAGTGCTTCCATCGTACAGCGAATTTTGCCGTAATAATCATAATCGGTCACCAAAATGTGTCTTGGATGAACGCGCGACTAATTGCGTGGTGGCACCCATTAGATTAATCAGGCAGGAAGCCCGTGATCATGATTCGTTTATTTGACGAGCTGACAGCCTTCTTGAAAAAGAATCGCTGTGCCATCTATTTCCCTCATTCGCCGTACCAGACGAATGATATTGAACCCTCGGAAGCAAAGCGCAAGCTACAAGGCATTATTACAGTACCCTCCGAAGCGAATGTCTCCATTGGTCTAGCTGCGCTCGTGAGTCTTGCCTAGGTAAGACAAAGTCATGCCTATTTCCTCGATTGTCAGATAGTCGTAGGATTGAAGGCAATTATTGATCGAATGTGTATCGCAGAGTGAGGATTTCTCACAGGATTTTTGTTCTGGTTCTGGCATACGATAGCACGGCAACCGCCGCGAGTATGCAGAACCACTGTGCGTCTTGATCTGAGCGTGAAGGTGCAGGTAACGTAAATGCCGAAACGTCTTTATCGTTTTAAGATTTAAAACCCCACCGTGAAATCCTTCCAACTCATCGTAGACTCCTACATCTTTTGATCTGCTCTATGCAGTAAACTTGCCGATACGAGGCAGGAGGCTACGCACTGCAGCGAACGTACAGTATTGTGATCTGAGTCGATAAGCCCGTATGCCCTTGAACATACACTCGGCTAACAACGTGATAACATCTATTGGTCTGCCCAGGCAGGAGGTCAGTGATCAGGCTCTCCGGTATAACAAGTCCGCTTCTTAGAACATTCTAATTTGGAAATTAGGCCTAGTATCAGTAAAAATGAATGTCACACATATGCATGTAAACATTATGTGGACGCCGGCATTACGCTGGACGCCCGCTTTAGGCACCAAAATCAACGATCTCAAGGGTTTTGATTACATTTTTGTAAATAGAAGAAAAACACACGCGCTTTCCTCACTGCCATCAAATATAAATTCACCCCCACAGTACATTGTGTCCCACAAGCCCACAGTTAGCGCTACGCTGTCTACCCCTCTTTCGTCATGGCCTCCCCAATACCCAGTCTCGGTATCTGTACCACCTCCCCGATAATAGTCCCTTCATAGTGACCAAGGTGATGGAGGTGACTTGTGATGAGGGGAGATGTGTTTTTTTTTGTGCATGGAGGTGGGGCTGATCGACAAGGACAAGATCTTCCCCTTCTGTGATGCCCCCATGAAACCATCGCTTGCGTGTAAGCGCTAGAGATGCTGCAGCCGCAAGGAGCACCCGGAGGGGAAGGATATTGCCCGATGCATGCTTACGAGCTCCTTTTCAATGAGTGTAAGCTGGACCTGCACTGCGCGGTCCGCCTACTGTTAGCCTGGTGCATGAGGCTGTCTCACGTACAGGCAAGCGAAATGGCCGACGTGTGTGAACGCATTGTGCAAGGTATTCCTTCTGTCACTTCACAAGCTCTAAAGAGCTTCTCAAGCGGGAATTCAAGGTAAAAACAAAGAAACGTTGCTCATGCTGCATTAATGTTGCAATAAAGTTGCTGATGTTGCGCTTATGTTGCGTTACAGATTGGGTGAGATGGCTATGCCTTAGAGATTGACGAAACTAGCCTCGCAAGTACAACCGCGACCGGCACTATCAGGCATTCCGGCTGTTTGGAGGGGGGAGTAACGCGCAGCACTGATCGCTGGTTTGGTAGAATATGTTTTGACAAAATGGCGAAATAGACCCTCCTCCCAGTTACCAAGCGATTTATCAAAATAGGTACTGTTTTATAGATTTTAACTCTACTAATGCAACCTTTATTGAACCTTTATTGAACCAAGATTATGTCTGACATGTTTGCAACTTATGTATTTCAGCGCGGCAACAAGGAGCACAC